AGTCGCTGGCTCTTGTGCCTTCCCGGTGGGCTGAGATCCTGCTGGGCAGAAACTGTCTCATTTATCTTTGGATCTCCAGTAACTTGCAATGCTTTGTAACCGGCAAGAATCTGGGCCACGACTGTAGGGATTCCTCTAATGAGAGCCCAGTGTTCGACCAGACTCCCACCCAGATTCTGAACATGCTCCACAGTGTGCCATCAGCTCACACTTCCTTATCTTTAGAGTCCCTAGGAATGAACAGAAGGACCCAACACTCCCTCCTGCAACAAGACCCAGAAGGAGGGGGAGGGGTGCTTTAGCCTAACATTTTCAGGCCCTGGCTTGTTAAAAAATATTTACAAACAAACAAACAAACACAGACATTTCCTGTGGCAAAATCCATCGTAGGCTCAGCGTACCTTTTTACCTCAGGAAGGCTTGCCTGAGCGATGGAGCCTGTTGCTCTTCAGGCCTCCCATCTCCAGAGGAGCCAGGCAGAGGGGGTCATTTCTCTCTGTTCCCACTGACTCGGCGCTCAGGCGTAGACTTGATCCCATCACGTTGGGATGAGAGATCGGTGGCTGTCTCATTTGGCAGTAAGCTCAAGAGAGCAGGAACTGTGTCTTTATTGGCCAGCTTTTAACGTCCTCGATGAACAGAGACAAGATTAGCCACTCAGTGGCACAGTACTAATTTTTCCAGCGAGATGTGAGTAAATGTCTGTCCTCCTCAGATAGGACATCGGTGATAGACCAAGGAAACCATCCCCCCAAATCTAGCCTGGTACAACAATGAGTTTTACAGAAACCATTTGGGAGGAACAATGGCACAATGGTAAAGGACACAGGTAACTTACAGGTGACAGCTATACGACCAAACAGTCTCTCCTCTCCAACAACTCCCAACTGCTCACACATTCTCAGGAAGTGGAGGGGCCAGGTACAGCGTCTGTGAGCCTCACCCCCACAAGCGAGTATTAGCGGGCCAGTCTTGTGAGAGTCGAATACGGGTAGCCACAGCTGCTTTGATTTCAAGGCAGAAATTTCTGCAACAGTGGGTGATCCCTCACCCCTCAGTCAGAACTCTCATGTCCAGAGAACCACGGCAACAGAGATGAGGAAGTCCTCTTGCTCCCTCAGGATGGCTGGAGTGTGGAGTGTGCACACTCCATCACCCATTTTCAGTGGGCCACAGAAGCCTAGTGGGGCCAAGAAGCATAGAAAGCCAGATCTCCTATATGTTGCCAAAGAGAGGGTAGGCTTCCCCCCCCCACCCCGAGCCCCAGAATCTAGAACCTTGTGCGTGCTGGGCAAGTGTTCTTTCAAAGAACCATTTCTCTAGTCCACAAAAATAATTTTTCAAAGTCAAATAGTTTTGTTGTTGTTGTTGTTTTGTTTTTATACTTTGTGTAACTTTAAACCCAGCAACTGCCTTCTGGAGTTTACTCTAAGAATCAGAATGGCTCTATTCCCAGAGGTCAAGTGTCTCTGTGGGGACTGAGCGGGTAAGGCCATAGCAGAAGGAACTGGGTCAAGGGTCTGACACTGGAGGATGGTGCGAGTGTTCCTACAGGACCCAGAAGTTTCAGCTTTAGAATCCTGGCTTGATATGTTGCATACAAAGGACCAAGTTATTTCCCCCTTGGTCCATGTCTTCTGATCACGTTGGCTCTAAACTGGTCATGTGACTGGCTTTAGGCAGCACAGTATTAGCAGAAGAAATGCAGGTGTGACAAGGTGGGCTTACCTTCTCATTGTGTGACTCTCGCTGGACCACCGAGTGAAGAAGGGTAGGCAAGCCCGCTGTGAAGGGCCGCTAGCCTACACACCTCAGTTATCCTGTGAGGCCTGATACCTGAGTGAGACTGTCCTGCATCACCCAGTATCAGCCCAGCAGCTGAACACAGAAACACTAATGAGCCAGCTGAAGTCAGCAGAGTTGCCCAGAGAGCGACATCTCCCCCTGGCTCACAGAATTTTGTGAGCCAGGTTTCAGGATGCTACACTTGTTTTTCTAAGCCTATGCATGTTGGGGTGGTTTGCAACAGATAAAGAACTAGTTGCCAGCAAATTAAAACACATTTAAAGCTACACAAAACAGACACAGTTCCTGGTCACCTCTTGAGAATGGCGATGTCACAATGGGGGCTCCCCATTATTGTTCCAATAGTGGAAGCATGAAGACCACTTGAAGATCCATCTAAAACTGATGTGGTTAACCACGGTGGCTTTGTATCCATTGGGAAAGGAGAACACAATTGAAAAGGGGTGGGACTGGAGACACTCATAGGTCTACCAACCTTGGAAGGACACCACCAAATTCTGATCAACGGGGAGTGCAAGTTTACTGTCCCCTCCCCCACAACATCATCCCACAGAAAAGGAACACAGAACACAGTGATTTGATGCAGTACAGTGGAGAGGACATCTTGGGACAAGGAGAAAAGCTCAGAGAGTCCAGACATGCTAAGCTTTGCTTTGGGGGGTACAAAGTGCATGATGGGGGGTAGCGAACAATAGTTCCGCTCAGATTGTAACATGGTGCGGGGGGGGGGGGGGGGGGGGGGGGGGGGGTCAAGGGGGAACTGCAATGCCGGTCAATGTCCTGATGGCGAAAGCTATTGGTATACTTAGCAGCTAAGTGCCTTTAATCTCTTCAAAGGCGCTGCTAAAACTATAGCACTTACAAGTGTGCTCTAAGAGCAAAGGATGTTGTAAAATCCTTAATGGCATGAGAACAATCGCCGTGTGTTAAAACCAGGAAGCCAAGTGTAAAAGCGCTTTACAGGACAGTCACACTCCCGCCACAGGAGGACTAGGCAGGCTGTGGTGATCAGGGCAGACTCTTTCTTTTCCTCTGTTTAGTCATTGTTTTCCAAAATGATACAACAGGCATGCACTTTATGTGCATTGGGGAGATTTAATAGAAGTTACACATTTTAAAATGTTAAAAGACACACTCATGTACATGCATGCTCTACCTTACACACACACACACACACACACACACACACACACACACACACACACACACACGGGGGTGGGGTGGGGAGACAGACAGACACACTGACGGATGGACGGACAGACAGACAGAGAAAGGACATCATTTTGCTGCTTTTAGTGCCTCCAATGTCCTGCTGTCCCACTGTCCCCATACAGAACTTTCTTTGGGGCAGAAAGTCTCCGAATCCACATGGAATCCTTGTGGGTTCCCCCTCCTCCCCTGGGACAGGGACAGATGAGATCTAGCATCACTTTGCAGAGGTAAAGACAGGCAGTGATTCGGCTGCCCGGCTCTACTCCCAAGAGCTTCTGCAGGAAGTGAGCAGGGACAAGGAGTGGCCCTTGTCATTTGGTAGAGGCACCACCCTGCTTCCGAAGAGCTCTAACGACCCCCTTCACCATCAGCCCTTCACAGCCTCATTCCTCAATCCCCCTCACTACTGACAGCACAGAAGTGTCCCTGTGCACAAAGGGCAGGAGGGATGCAGCTCGTCATTGGTCCTACACCAGCCAGCTGCAGCAGAGCCTAGCCCTGCTCACTCAGCCATAAGCAGGACTGACTCCTGAGAAGAACAGCCAAAGCAACGCACTATGAGGAATCCCAGAGGGAAATGGCAAAGTAGTAAGGACAAAGTTCAAAGTGATAAGCGGTATATTGAAGACTCTACTGCAGAATGATCTATCAGTGGGCACAGTCACGTGGCCCAAGGTGTGAGTTTTATAAAATAATGAAGTATTGACTGGACCACAGGGTGGAAAATTAGAGTGGGCATGGCCAGTACCCAACGCTTTGGGGATTGTGTCCGCTGAATGAATGAACTGTGGAACAGCTGGTCTTTTGGAAAAAGAGAAAGAGGGTACCAGATGCCTGAAAGGACGTCAACGCGTCACCGCCAGCTTCCTGGGCACCTGCTCCATGCTCATCTCTACCTCTTCATAGGCTTGTCCTTAGGTGGAGGGAGATAAGCAGCAGACTTTCTTTTCCTTGAAAATTCCATAGAATTAAGAACTTGGCTCTCCAGTCGCTGTGAAGGATAAAGGATAATGTCTCCCTGTCCTCTATAATGTGGTTCCCACCTCCTCCCCTCTACGTGTAGCTTAAGCCGGGCTTGAATTCACTGTGTAGACGAGGATGACGTTGAACTTCTGATCCCCCTGCCTCCACTTTCTGGAGTGCTGAGATCATGGGTTTGCCCCCACCACACCGCATTTATGAGGTACTGGGATGGACTTCAGGATGCTGAGCAGCTGGGCGAGCACTCCACTAACCGAGCTACATCCACCACCCCTCGGACAGCCTTTTATCCCTCTCTTTGGAAGCATGCTGTCTGTCTCTAATCCACTCATGCAGAGGCAAGCCACGTTCCAGCTTAGTTAGCCCACACAGGTCCTGCCATCTCTAAAGAAGGGGTGTACCACTCTGGCATCCATACCTCCCAGTGTTGCTGAGAGGCCCAGATGAGAACACACACGTGAACGAGCCCTGAAAAGGAGCATTTTTAGAGACCCTGCGTGGTAAATTTCTGTTTATTTGCTTGAAGACAGGGTCGTGCTAACAGCTAAAGCTGACCTGGAATGTTATGTAGTGATAGCCCAGGCTGGACCTTGAAGTGATCATCCTGCTTCAGCTACTTAAGAGCTGGGCTTACAAACATGTACACCTGTCTGGCTAACACTGTGTTCTCAATGAAAGGCTGGACAACCCATGACCTGCCTTGGAAACACAACATCTTCAGCCATTCGGGCATCAAGGGAGACATGAGGCCTCTTTGTCTCAGACCCAATTACCTTTAATAAATGGACAGAGATTTCTTATGCAATTGTTAAGGTGAAGGACTGCAGTTCTCTTCCTGGCTTCTGCAGGGAGCTTGGGTGTCTCATGCTTAATCCATACATCCTGTCTGAGCTACTTATCCCCCACTACTTCACAGTTGCTATCAAACTTATTTCACTCCCACGATTTTACACCCTCAATCTATGCAAGAGAAGCATGGGCAGAGTAGACTTTCTCACGAATGAGGCGCATTCTACAACACAATTCACTTTTTATTATCATCATCATTATGAAGGGCTAAGTCCACAGTCCAGTTTCCAGGCAACGGAAGAGTAGATGCTTTGTATGCAGGACACCTGCATGCAATGTGGTCGCATGTTTTTTTTTTGGTTTGCTTTCTTCTGGACCTCTGTTAAAAAGGCAACCATGGAGTTCAAAACTGCAGTTACAACAATGCAATCTTCAAGCAATTAAAGCCGTTGGATTATTGAGCCAGTCGAATCCAGGTGTTCCCCTTCCAGCTAAGGCTCACTGAAAAGGAAAGAAAAAAAAAATACCACCCAGAACAAAGCCACTTGCCGAGTGAAAGTCCGGTTCAGCCTGTGTGACTTGGGGACCCACACCCCAGCAAGTGGCGGTGGGGGGGGGGGGGGTAGGATCACTCCAGCATGTGCTGGAGCAGCGAGGGGTCTGCCTCCACGGCCTGGAGGCTCTTGTGCAAATTCAGGAAGGTGGCCTGTTTCCCGTAGCGCTGGCGCCAGCGGACGAACGCCTCCACCACCTGGGACTGCACGTTGTGGGGATGGTTGGCCTTGCAGCGGTAGATGTCGGTCTGGGACAGCCCCAGAGACAGCACCATGGGCTCCCACTCGGGGCCTAGCTTCTGGGCCAGCTGGTTAATCTGCCGGTCTGATGGGGAGCTGTTGAGGACGTGTGAAGGGATTCCAGCCATCCAGTCACCTGAGGAGGACAGGACAGGAAGGTGAATGAGACAAGCAAGTACCTCAGACGGGGAAGACGTGAGAATGGGGAGTGGGGGGAGCAGATAAGCAACTACTCCCGGTCTTCTTGTACTGCTTGGAACAGTGGGGTGAACAATGCCATTTAGCCTCTCTGGAAGTGTTCACTGCAGAAGATCTGAGGAAACCCACGGATGGTCACTTATTTCCTCCTCCTTGTGTATACAGACAAACGCGGATCAAGCCCATGGACATACAGTTTTGTCTCATGCTTTTTTTTTTTTTTTTTTGATTCCCATTCCTTGTCAGAAGCCACATCAGGAGTTCTGGCTGAAGGCCACTTGCCTTGGTACCAGCCTGAAGGCCAGAGGTGTGCTGCTCCAAGCTGTGAGTGCCACTCCCCTTGAAGGAGGGGCTCCAGCTTGGCGGGGGGAGGTCAAGGCCAATAGTTCCTCCTTCCTGTACCAGGAGAAAGGAAGCAGGAATCCAGAGTGCCCTCCCCGTGATAAACAAGCCATAGAGGCAAGAGTTGATGGGAGAGGAGAGCAGAGACCATTTGGGTGGACTCACTGTCCCAGTCAAGTCCACTAGAGGACCACAGAGTAGGTGCTTTGAAGAGCCTGACCTTGCACTTCCTAAACAGGACTCCAATCCACCTGAGTCTGCCTCCTAAGAAGTGTGACAGCAAGTGTTGTAAATGTGCAAAGCACAACCATAGACATTCCACGGGCTCTACAGAAGGGGCATGTAAGCTGGTGTGAGCCATGGAGCAGAGAGGCTAAAGCTGACCCCCCCGAACAGGAGAAAGCTGGGCAAAGTGGGTGCCAACCCCTCCTAAGGGCGCCGCATGTGCCAAGGGTGCCAAGGTGGAGGCCATGAAGGAGTGGATGGCAGCCAAGGGCAGAGTCTGAGAGGGACTCCAAGCATCCAAGATGGCGGCACTGGCTGCAGATTAGGTTCAGACAGCTGTGCCATGGCAACTGTAGGACACTTGCTGGCCAGCTCCATCACATCTTAGTGCACGTCACAGTCACCAGCCTCTGCTTCATTTCCCAGCTCAACAAAAAGGCAAATGATCCTGCTAGAAGAGCAGTGGGTCCCACAGCCCTTGTCTCTGACTCCCGGAGAGTCAACTGCCAAAACTCCAGGGTTGAGTTACGAAGACCCTTTCAGAATTTGTCAGCTCGGCAATTAAAGATGGACTATGAGGCGATTTGAACAATGAAGATGATACTGATGTTCAATAAATCAACAACAATGATTTTGTAGGTTTTATAAAAATATGGGCTCATTAAAAAAATTCAAAACCCACGAAAAGTATGAAGGAGAAATCAAGTCATCCACTGTCCCACCTGGACCCCTCCTTACATACAGTGCCGTGCCAGGAGGATGGCTAGATCTCAGGGACATTCAAAGGAGCAGCAGAAGAGCTTTCCTCTACCACCTGCTTTTGTTTGAAGATAGCAGGGGGAAAAAATAAGCAGAAGTCAACCTAAATGTCCTTGCAAGCCACAGTTAAATCCTTAACACAATACCAAGGAAAAATATTAAAAACACTTCGTTTTTTACTGAAACCTCACTGCAATGAACTAAACCCATACTGTGTCCCTCCCTCCTGCCCCCTTCTGCCCCCTCCCCTCCTGCCCCCCACCTCCTTCCCCCTCTAGCTCACACTGCTTGATCTTTGTGGCATCAGTCATTTCTGTCAGGTGTAATATTTTCCTGTTTCTGAAGTGACTCTGCATCCCAGGCCCATCCTAAGGGAAGGGCAACAGGACAATGCCTCCAGTGCCCAACAGTGCCTCTGCTATTGTGTGTTGTGACTGGTTTTTCGACTGTGACTCTTCTGTTCCTGTGTCTGTTGTTTTGATCTGTGACAACTGGTCAGTTTCAACACAAGGTGATTTCTTACAAGAGACGTTCATAGTCACTGTGGTCTTGGAGATCTCTGAGGTCAAGTTTGCCAGTTGCCTCATTAGAACAATGTCTTCATATTTAGAGAACCAATGATACATTATTTCATGCTATTTAACATCCTACCTTTGAACTATAAACACACCTTTATGTTATAGAAATAATTTTATTCCCCTTGCATATTTACAAGTTTACAGACCTCACTCCTATTTTGTGCTTGGGAGAATTCTGATAGCAACTTGGTTATCCAACGTTTTGTGTATGATATTCAAAAGAAATGAAATACTGAACACAGCCTCTCTGCAAAAGGACAAACCCTGTGTGGTTCCAGTCACAGGAAGTACCTAAGGTAGTCACATGACCACAGAGGCAGAAAGAAGAGTGGCATCTGCGGACAGGAGGGAGAGATGGGGTTGGTGTTTAGTGAGTGGGTGAGGAGTTTGCGATATGCAAGATGAAAGATGTCTAGAGACCTTTCCCTGCCTGACACTTTTTCAAATTTTGTCCATTTGTTACTTCATCTGCTGCTGGTGATTTGGAGTCAAGGTTTATTTTGGGGTTTGACTGCTTTTCCCTTCAGTTGATTGGGTTTGGGGGAGGGACCATCAGTGTCTAATGCTACACTCTGGCATCTTTCTATCTCCGGGCCAACTCAGAACGCAACAGATGCTGTGAGCCAATTGTCTGGCACTACGAACAGGCTGTGCTCTGATTCTTCTATATGTTCACGGTCACATGCCCTATAAATAGTGCCACATAATTGAGATGGCAGAAATCTGTGAACACAGGCCGGAGCAAAGATGATTGACATATACACACTACCTCCCCCAAGCAAATCCCACCTTCTACCCAGATACCTTCTCTCTCTCCTTCCTCTTTCCGCCTCCCTCTCCCGCCCCACCCCCACACAGTGTGCACAGCTTTGATACCATCTGACCTCTAGCAGGAAAGGTTTCTTCCCTAGGCTTTTATGTTTGTGACTCCTGCGCAATCTGAAGTTACTAAAAAAAAAAAAAAAAAAAAAAAAAATGAGACTCCTAAGGTTTAGAGTCAACTCCTGAGGATAAAATGCATGAGATCAGGGGAAGGTATACATTCATCCACTGTGACTAGCTGGCCGCTGTGTAGTGTGCGGGATGGTCTTGGGTCACACTCACACAGATGTTTTGTATGTCGGTGATCACATCTCTTTTGATATAGTGGACAAATTATAAACGGCATTTTGAACCCCAGATTTCAAAGATTAATGTAGGTCCATTTAAATTTTGAATTAAAAAATTTCAAAGGGAAGTGAATTTTGAAAGCAAATACAGAATGATAACATGGAAACAGAACAAAGTCAATTAAAAATATGAAGTAAATATAAGGAAGAAGGTCCAGTGAGTAGTTCGGGAGACACACACACACACACACACACACACACACACACACACACACACACACGGCAAAACTGCACCAGTGGGACCTAGAGACCAGGGCTGGACGCCCAGGTCTGTGCACAAGAGCACCCAGCACTCCAGCCGTGTGCTGCGTCAGGCCTTCCACAGCACCTCAAAGGCCCTGCTGGCTTCACCCTGTGTCTTCCTAATTGCTAGGAACAGACCTCACCCCACCACAGCACACAAGGTCCTCTGTCCTGGGATGATGAGATTAGCCGTGGTTATGAACCACCAGACCGTGCTGAAGAATGTCTGTTCTAGTATTTAAGACTCTAGATGAGAATCCAACTGTTTACATGGATAAATGGTCTGCCTTTATACAGATCCTAAATCTTTCCTGTAGTTTTAAAATCTCTCGTCTCTGTCTCTGTCTCTCTGTCTGTTTCTGTCTCTCTCTCCTCCCTCTCTCTTTCTGAGACAAGGTTTCTCTGTGTAGTCCTGGCTATTCTGGAACTCACTCTGTAGACCAGGCTGGTTTTGAACACCGGCTTTAAAATTTCATTTTCGGTGAAGCTAAAACTCACCTATTTCAAGATGAGCACCATACACATGCAAACCCACCTACCACCACACAGTCAAGGATGAGGCAGCCCCTTCCCATACTGCCCTCTTCCTTATCCCTCAGCCCTTCATCCCCCCATCTCTGTGGTCTCTTGAGTGGACACAAACAGCATCTTCCTTCTGCAGGGCCTCTCTTCTCTCACTCACACCTAGGAGCGGCTGTCCCAGACTCTAATCTAAAGCCTCTTTGTAAGTCCTGTTGGCGTAGAACCACACATCCCTTCCTGTGTTTTGTATGAGGTGGCTGCCATCCATGCCCCTTACACACAGAGATCATGTCTTCCACTTCTACGCCCACCCCTACCATTTTTAGCCCCTAACCAGGAGCAAGAGAGAGTCTGATGGGCTGGGTGAGGTAGTACATGCCTATAATCCCAGCACCTGGAAGGCAGAGGCAGGGGACTCAGGAGTTCAAAGTCATCTTTGGCTACACACTTTTTTGTGGCCAGCCTGGGCTACATGATACCCTACAAGAAAATACACACGCACACGCACACTGGAGAGTCTAACAATATACCAGTCACCCAAACTCACTGTGGCTATGAGCCATTGCTACTGGTTTAAAATAATATGTTATAAAAGAGTGGAACTCACTCTAGGTTTACAATAATTTTCAGCATCTGACTCTTAAGTATTTCAACACATCAATGGACTAAGGAGAAAAGCCATTATCTCAATAATGTGAAGATACCTGTCTATAATTTTAAAGACAGTTTCCTGCCTACAATTTTAAAGAATAATTCTATAAAAATCCTGAATTTAAGCACATTTCTTGACTTGATAAAACTTGAAAAGTATTTCAGTAAACATTTTCTTTGATGGAGAATGTTTAAATGTATTCCCTTTAATAATGGAAGCATGAGGGCCAGAACAATGGTTCAAGGCCAACGTGGGTACGTTAGAATGCACAAGGTACTCCCGAAAACCACCTGGAGAGAGAGGAGCCTCCACCAGAAAGATGGTTCAAATTAGGGGAGCCACAGGAGCACGCATACGAAAAGGTGTTAAAACACAGAATTAAAAAAAACAACAATGGAAACCACAATGATAAATCATTTTATGTGCAGAGAAACCCAGCACTACAGGT